TAGTAGCAGTCCATCTGTCTCCACTGTGTCGTGTTTTTCCTGTAGGTCTTCCATTTGAGACGTATCTTTTGTTCTTCTCACCGTTCCAGGCTCGTCAGCTCATCCCTTCAAGTGGGGATTTCTCATCTCTGGTGATCTGGATATGGTTCTGATTTCTACCTATAGTTTTATGTATTGCAAAGGCTCCGCAGAAAGCCTCGTTCACCGGGTACGCTGTAGCCCCGTTTTAGGTATTCCGATCAGTTAAAGGCAGAAGATGGATTTACATACCTAAGTCTTGGCTGCTGACCTTGATCCTTCTTCCTCTTCATGAAGTTAGACCAAGAGGTCAGTCGCCACTGACACCGCTGCCTGTGGCAAGTTTATTATCTGCGTGTTTTTAAGTGCCGTTGAGTCGGTTCCAACCCTTAGCAACCCTGTATAGAGTTTCTGAGGAACAGCTGGTGAGCTTGAACCGCCGACCTTGCTGTTCAAACTGACCTTGCATTCCAGCACATTAACCCAGGGTGCTACACCAGGACTCCATAATCTGTATAGGTGATAGCCCAGAGCCCTGGTGGTTGGGACATAGCAGCCACTCTGTAGAAGGATGCAGCCGTCTGCCTCTGTAAAGATCACAGCTTTGGAAGCCCCATGGGGCAGTTCCACTCTGTCCTATAAGGTGGCTCTAAATCCAAATTAACTCAATGCCAAAGAATTTAGGTTTTGAGGGTTTTGTTGTTGTTGTCTATAAAAGATACTACCTATCTGGCAGAGTTAAGGAGCTATTAGAATGCATATACTTTTTAAGTACCCAGTATAGTATATTAAATATAGTGAGGACTCAAATTTCTTTCCTTTGAAGTATAACTCTCAAAAAAGTCCGAACAGCTATCTATTTCAAAGAAACTTATTGGTGTGACAACTATTGTGATAAATCCTGAAAAAGCAAATCACATCTCTCTTGTTTTCTGTCATCTAGATTTGACATATACTTTTCCAAATAAAACTGCTCGAATCAACACCAAAACAAGCGACACACAAAATAACACGACAAACATCTTCTGGTAACAACATAATGAGTGAATGTGTTGCGTTATGGCACACAAACGTGGCCCGAGTAGAGGAATGGGCTGTATCTTATCTGCTCTTATTACTACCTGTCCTTTGGTTCAATGTGAAAATCATTTCAGCAAAGTGTGGGGAAACATAATTCACAAACAGAAGATCACTTTACTTTGTTTACTACTTCACGGCTGTACCAGAAGAGTGGAAGCTCATGGCATCCTCAGGTGGGGAGAGAGAGAGGTTAAGACAACGAAATGGTTTCTTCCTACCCACACACTCTTGGCTAAGCCCTGACCTGATTCCTCATTACGTTTCTCACATAGAGGTTCTGGGAAGAATACAAATGAAGGTTAGAAAATAGGTTTACAAAATAGTACCCTAGGAGCAAAAGAAAAATGAATCTTTTATATAGCCTCCCCTCCAAACCATTCTGCATGCCCAGCACTGCACCCAGTTTGTTACCTGAAGTCTTCATCTTCACAATGATCCTATGTAGTGGGCACTAGCATCATACCCACTTTAAAAATGATGAAACTGAGGCTTCGAAGGACAGAGAAACTTGCCCAAGGTTGCATGGCTCATGAGTGGCAGAGCGCCAAGAGTCCTGACTCCAAAATCCATACCATTTACCCACTACTACACTACTTATTACTGCATTATAGATGAAAGGGTGTTATTGGGTTCCAGACTCGGCTTCGCCCCTTGGGCAAATCACTTGACCTTGCCGAGCCAATTTTCCTCCATATATGAGTGCAATGACCACAGCCTGGTCTCCACAATGTCTGAGTGATGCTCAAAGAGTTAATGGATGTGTACGCGTGCTGTAAAGACCACAAGACTCTGTTTTAATTTAGGCCTCGGTTCCAGGTATTTTTATCCTTACAAATGGTTTATGAATCTAAAAATAAATTTAATAGTAGTAAAATCATTTGTAACATTCCCAAGCAAAATACAAAATTAGCTTTATGAAATAAATTCTACACAAGGATTTAAGAAGTTATTTAAATGAGCTTGATCTTCAAAAAAATGCAGGGAGTACTTGACCCTTTTCAATCAGTCCTATCCAGCAGAACTTTCAGCAACGATGGAAACGTCCTAGGTCGGCACTGTCCAATACAGGAGTGGCCAGCCACACTGACAACTAAGCACTTAATATCAGAGGAGTGAGACAGGGGGGCATGGAATTAATTTTATTCCATTCTAATCAACTTAAATAGCTACCTGATTAGCATAGTTTTAGACAATTTTTCAAGGGAACTATGAAAATGTACTGTGTTACTAACCTTAGAAGAACAAAGTCACCCAGAAGGCCATTCAAACAGATGGAGTTAAGAAACAATGCCACAAGTAATTAAAGCAGCTCAAGAGTGCCCAAGTAGAGGGTTCAAACAACCCAGAACCAATCAAGCCCTTCTCCAATTGTGCCTCACGTTAATTTGAATAGAGCCAAATCGGTAAGAGTTACTATTCTTCTATTTCCTTCAGTATTTTTTTAAAAAAACAACCCAGTTCATTAAGCATTATTTGGACTCCCTGAAAATGAAGGCACAGGTTCAGTTAGAATAGCTATTTTTGCAAGGCAGTGAGTGACCCAGAGGAAATTAAAAAATTAAGGGCCACAAGATAGTAACTTAAAAGTGATGTCTGCAGGCATAAGACAGTCACCCAACTTTTTTTTTTTTAAATGAAAATTCAAAAATAAATACTTAACCATGTATCTGCAGTTTTGCAGTTTAAACCCACCCCAAGGCTACTTGAAAGAAAGGCCTGGTGATATGACATACTTCCCCAAACTCAGCCATTGAAAATCGTATAGAGCAGTTGTACTCCGACACACACGAGGTCGCCATAAATCGAATCGGGCTCAATAGCAACTGGTTTAACCATATATTTCTATTCGATGTCATCACTTACTTAAAGGAGCGGAAGAAATCAAAAGAAAAATGATGCCCAGAAAAGCATGAGTAAAGAAGGAGTATGAGGTCAATATACAAAATGCAACAGCAGAGACACAAGGAGGTTTAGGCCATTTATACCCAGCTGTTACCAGAGCTCTGCACCTTAAAGGGTCATTACCTCTTATCTTGGTAGCTTAAAATGCATGGGTTAAACTTCTGTTCCTAACTGCTTTTGGTCCTTATCCCAGAGGCATGAAAGAGAACTTATGTCCCCTGGGTGCCTACGAAATCAAATACTGAGGCTGGCTCCCCACCTTCTGGGAATAAGTGAAGTGTCCAAAGTGACAATGGTGAGTCCCTAGGGTACATTTGGTCCACAGCTTCTTTTTCAGTCCTGCAAGTACTGGATCTGTCTTTCAGAGTGGAAAGAGAAAAAGAAAGAGGTAATTGAGAAGACTAACACCCTCATGCACAAAGGCATGAAAATTTCTGACCTTGTACACAGAACCCAAAAAAGCCAACTCGGGACACTTTGCTCAGATGCAAACCAGACCCTTTGTTCTGCCTTTTGAAATTCATTAACCACATTAGAAAAATATTTCCTAATTCCACAGGAGTGATTGTGCAGGATATTCGAATGCCTAATTAAGAAACATTAAACACCCTGAGTGATCAAGTAGCACGTCCAACAAGCTGAACGTTTCAATATGTTCAACTGCGAAGAAAAAAGAAAGGGAGTTTCCATCGTCCTAGGCCCTTTCCACGATCGGCAATTCTCAGCTCCTGGGCCCTGAAAAAATCCTGTACCCTGTAGGCGATTTGTTGTGCAATCTCTTTCTAACTCCACCCACTGAACTCCAGAACAAGTGCAATTCTCACATTCTGAAGGAGTTCTCGATTTTCCTGTATCCAGGGAGAAGCTGAAAACTCCTTGACGTGAGTCAAGTAAGGCAAGGGGAACGATTCAGCCAGTCTCCCAGATTAAGAGACCAAAGGCCAGGCTCAAGCTTACACACCACTTACATACATACGCACACACGCAAACACACACTGATAAGTGCAGTACAGCGGATTCCAACGCATAACTACCATATGCGTAACATACATAGAAAAATACACACAACATTTGATAATATAAAATACACACACACATATATATACAATAAATAAAACGAGAAAAAGCAAAAAAGGCTGGATTGGGAAGACAGGTTATCAAGGGATGGCTGCTCCAGCATCCCCTCCCATCCGCAGCCCCACGTGCAGCCGAGTTCAGGGCCTGGGTTCCGGATGAGAGACGCCACGGAGCCCGCTGGCTGCCGGCGCAGTGGTGGGGAGCACCGGGAGCGGGAAAAGGGGGCGCCGCGCACCCCTGGCTCCTGCGTGGTTATCTTACTGCGCAACAGCCCGGCCAGTGCGGCCCGCGAGCCCCCTGCGCACCTGCCGGAGGTTAGAAGGGCGCCAGTCTCTCGGCGGCGGCGCCCACGGTGAGGACTGCAGGGGATAGGAGAGGACCCCTGGCCCCGGGGCCCCGGCCGCACGTGGCTGTCACAACTGGCGCGCCCCCGCCTCGCAGCGCTTCGTCCGCAGACCTGGCTGCGCCCCTGCCCACCCTCCCCCTCCCGCCGCGCGTCCCCAAGCCCCAGCCATCCCCTCCTCTCATCCCATCCATCTTGGTCCCACTCCCCGACCTGCTCCGAGTCATCACCCCCATAGGGACGAGGACCGGATGTTCGTCCCGAGACTAAAGGTAAGCGGGGAGAGTGAAGAAGTGGCCCCCAAAAAACAGAGTTCGTGCATCCCCCCCACCAGGCAGCAACCAGACTGCTCCCCGGACTGACCTTCTGCCGCGGACTGCGTCGCCGTCCTCCCCGTCCAGCCTCAGTCGCCTCCTCAGCGCCTCCGTCTCTTCTCCGCGTTGCCTCCTCCAGCCGAGTCGCCATGAGGTGACGGCAGCAGCCAAACAAGCACCCCGACAAGGGGCACGGAACCGCAGGGCCGTGCGCCCCGCCCCCGAACCCCCATGGCCAATCACCGAGCGTCTGTGTCCCCACGTGACCGGAGGAGGTTGGGCCCCGAGGGGAGGGCGCGGGATGGGGGTGGGGAGCATTGAAGTCGGGGTTGGGGCTTCCGCAGGGCCGAAGGGCGGACAGAGGCCGCACGAGTCTGCGCGGAAAGGAAAAAGGGACTCTGAAACGTACTACAAGCCCCAATAGGCTGTACGGCTACGGCTCGCAGGCGTGGTTAGAGATTAGAGCGTAGTGCGGCGTTCTGGACAAGGGAATTTAACCACGGAGCTGTGCGTACAGCCTACTGGGACTTGCAGTTTTCAAGGGCAGTGTCCGAATACTTGTTATCCTACAATGAGGAACTCTTGCTGGCACACGCAGTACTTAAAGCGTCTGGTTGCAAGCCTCAAGATCGTCGGTTCAAAACCACCAACCGCTCTATAGGAAAACGAAGAGGCTGTCTGCTCCTGTATAATTTACAACCTTGAGACAATTCTACTCTGTCCTATTGTTAAGTGCCGTCGAGTTGGTTCTGACCCATAGCGACCCTGTACAGGGTTTCCGAGGCTGTAAATCTTTACAGGAGCACAAAGCCTCATCTTTCTCCCGCGGAGCGGCTGGTAGTTTTGAACTGATGACCTTAAGGTTCCCAGCCCGCTTCGAACCACTATGCTGTCAGAATCAACTTGACGACTGTGGATTTAGTCGGGGAAACACATCCTGTGGGAAAAGTTTAGAAGTTATTCACTGTTTGGGAGCGAGCGGGATCAGTGACAGGTTACTACTGGGTTTTTGTGTTGTTTTGTCATTAGGTGCCTCACCTGCTGTTCTTTGGCATGTTGTTGTTACAGGCCATCGAGTCGTCACCAACTCATAGCGACCCCTATGCACAACAGAACAAAACACTGCCTGGTCCTGGACCAACCTCACAATCTGTGCTACCTTTGGTCCCATTGATGTTGCCATTGTGCCATTTCATCTCATTGGGGGTCTTCCTCTTTTTCTGTGACCCTCCACTTTACCAAACATGATATCCTTCTACAGAGACTGATCCCGCCTGACAATATGTCCTAAGTATGAGAGACGAAGTCTGGCCATCCTGGCCTCCAAGGAGCACTCTGGTTGTACATCTTCCAACACAGTTCTGTTTGTTCTTTTGGCAGCCCATGGCACTTTCAATATTCTCCTCCAACACCATAACTCAAATGCATCGGTTCTTCTACTGTTTTCCTTATTCACTATCCAACTTTCGCATGTGTATGAAGTTATTGAAAATACCATGGCTTGCATCAGGCGCACTCTAGTCCTCAGACTGACATCTTTGCTCTTCAACATTTTAAAGAGGTCTTGTGCAGCAGATTTGCCCAACATAATACTTTGTTCAATTTCTTGACTGCTGCTACCATGAGTGTTGATGGTTGAGCCAAGAAAAATGAAGTCATTGAAAACTTCAATCTTTTCTCCATTTATATTTATTGGTCCAGTGGTCAGGATTTTTGTTTTCTTTACATTGAGGTGCAACCCATACCAAAGACTATGGTCTTTGATCTTCACCCATAAGTATTTTTTATTAGTTTTATATTTAATAAGTTATGATTTCACATGCCCTTATTTTACTGTTCACCCAAATATCAGTGGTCCATCAACAGAACACAAATGTATGTGTAAATAATTAAATTTAGTCATTTTTGATGTATTATTGCTTTTCAGTTAAATAACATCCCTAGTTTCACCTCTAATTTTTGTTTCACTATGAAAGTATGGTAGCACGGTGGCTCCGTAGGATAGGCACTGGACTGTGAACCACAAGGTTGGCAGTTTGAGCCCATCTATATAGGATCACCATGAGTCTGATCTGACTCGACTGCACTTAATAACAACAACATGAAGGTATATTTAACAAGGTAGAAGTATGTGGCTATTGCTGTTAAGTGTCGCCACGCCGGCCCCGACTCATAGGGATCCTGTATAGTGTTTTTGAGGAGTGGTTGGTGGGTTTGAACTGCCGACTTTATGGTTAGCAATCCAGTGCCTATCCTAGAGGGACACAACAGTTTGTTAGCTTGACTTGTAACTTTTAAATATTTATGTTTTTGCTATGTGGGTCTCTATTCATCCATAAGTATTTTAAGTCCTCTTGACTTTCAACAAGCAAAGTTGTATCAACTGCATATTGCAGGATGTTAATGAGTTTTGTGCACCAGGGTTGTATTCTTTCACCCTACTTATTCAATCTGTATGCTGAACAAATCATCAGAAAAGCTGGGTTATATGAAGAAAAACATGGCATCAGGATTGGAGTAAGGTTCTTAGCATAGAGCACAAAGTATTTATGGATAAGGGGAATTGCTTAGCAACTTTCAAGGGGAAAGTATAACAGCTTTCAGATTTGGAGGTTCCGGGCTTGGGCACTTTCCTCAGTTCTGCCTAGCCACCAGAGTATACCTAGCCCTGTCCCAAGCTCCTTGGCCAGTCGCCCGGACTTTTGGCACAGTTCTTCTATCTTAACTGGAACCAAAAGCATGTTGAGTGGATGGAGCTTGCTTACTCTGCTAGACGTTTCATTACTTAGATTCTTCAACAAACTTGGTTTGCTGACTAGATTTTATTTTCTCCTTCATGTGACAGGGTGGGGGTGGGATGGGAGGTCCTATTCCCTATTTCCATCTGATGTAACTAGATCTCCAATGACTGAACTTCTGAAAGTGACAGACTCCTATGAAATCTGCTGTATTACCTTAAATAATTCAATATGAGAACTTGTGCTAAATCTTAGACCATTTTTTTTAAAGCTAGAGTTGAGTACAGAACACTGGTTTTTGTTGTTAAGTGCTATAAAGTTGGTTCTGACTCATAACGTCACACCATGACTCCCCAAGATAGTGGTTGTTGTTGCTAAGTGCCGTGGAGTCACTTCAGACTCATAGCGACCCTGGATAGGGTTTCCAAGGAGTGGCTGGTGAGTTTGAACCGTTGATCTTGCAGTTCAAACCAACCTTGAAGTCAAGTACTTACTCTACAATGCCACACCAGGATTCCAAGACAGTAGTTGTTGTAAGTGCCATCGAGTTGGTTACAACCCATAGCAACCCTATATAGGGTTTCCAAGGAGCAGTTGATGAACCTGAACCACCCACCTTGTGGTTCAAACCGACCTTGCAGTCCAGCACATTAACCCACAGTGCTACACCAGAACTCCAAGACAGTGGTTGTTGTTGTTGTTGTTATGTGCCATGGAGTCGGTTCCCACTCATAGCGACCCTGTACAGGGTTTCCGAGGCTGTAAATCTTTATGGGAGCAGAAAGCCTCATCTTTCTCCCGCGGAACAGCTGGTAGTTTTGAACTGCTGACCTTGAGGCTCGCAGCCCGATTCGTAACCACTACGCTACCAGAGCTCCTTAAGACAGTGGTAGCAAGTGCCAAAAATGTAATTGCACATATGAGAGTACATTTTCATATGGGGTTGGGGGCAGACTCCATATGTTAATTTTCATTTTCTCTGTGTATTTGGAAAAAGAACCATTCTTTTGTTTCATGGATAGTACACCTCAGTGTAATTTTGAAATTTCAAAACTAGAGCAGAGTTTGAGGCATACATGGCAGCAGATTATAGACTTATCCCCAGACAAAATAAGGATGATGGCCTTAGGCACCAGAGTGACACCTTCTCAAAGATAAAATTCCCATCAAGATGTAGAATACACCTAGTAGTCTGCTCCTGTAAACATTATAACCTTGAAAACTCTTTGGGATCGTTCTGTTCTGTCGTGTAGGACCACTGTAGATCAGAACCAGCTTGGTGACTGTGGGTTTGGTTGGGGTTTACCATCCTGTCTCTGTGGAAGATGACAAACTATGGATAATATTGTAAAGAATCGGTATTCCTGAACACTTAATTGTGCTCATGAGGAACCTGTACATAGACCAAGAGGCGGAACAAGGGACTACTGGATGGTTTAAAATCAGGAAACGTGTGCACCAGGGTTGTATTCTTTCACCATATTTATTCAATCTCTATGCTGAGCAAATAATCCAAGACACTGAATTACATGAAGAAAAACATGACATCAGGATTGGAGGAAGACTCATTACGAACCTGTAATATGCAAATGATGTAACCTTGCTTACTGAAAGCGAAGAGGATTTCAAATACTTACTGTTGAAGATCAAAGACCACAACCTTCAATGAGTTGTACTTCAATGTAAAGACAGCACAAATCCTCACCACTGGACCAATACATAAAATGATAAATGGAGAAAAGATTAAAATTGTCCAAGACTTCATTTTGCTTGGATCCACTATCAACACTCATGGAAGTAGCAGTCAGCAAATCAAACAAGACCTCCCAGGATCACATCTGGAGAACAGCTAGTTTGAGGACTAAGGTGCATCTGACCCAAGCCATGGTATTTTCAATAGCCTCATATGCATGTGAAAGTTGGACAATGAATAAGGAAGACTGCAGAAGAATTCATTCATTTGAGTCATGGTGTTGAGGAAGAATATTGAAAGTTCCAGGGACTGCCAGAAGAACAAACAAATCTCTCTTGGAAAAAGTACAGCCAGAATGCGTCTTAGAAGCGAGGATAGTGAGACTTCATCTCTCATATTTCAGACTTTGTTGTCAGGAAGGACCAGTCCCTGGAGAAGGACATCATGCTTGGCAAAGTGGAGGGTCAGTGAATAAAAGGAAGACCTCCAAAGAGACGAATTGGCGCAGTGGCAGCATCAGTGGGCTCAAGTGTAACAATTGTGAAGCTGGTGCATGACTGGGCAGTGTTTCGTTCTGTAAGTGTATAAGGTTGCTGTGAGTTGGAACTGATTCGACAGCACCTAACAACAACAATGCTTCTCATAATCTATCTAAGGCATTTAGTGTTGAAATCCACCATTGTTACTTAAATTGTGATACAATAGAATATTATGCAGCTGCTAAAAATAGGAAGCGTTTTTTAATTGACCCAGAAAAATTC